GGCACTGATTTTAGGAGAAGTGAGAAAAAAGATTTTGTTCTTGTTAACTTTTTGCCCAGAGTTAAGTTCATAATTCTTGATTGACTTCATGATGAGATTGATAGAACTACTCTTGCCACTACTGAAAATTACAATATCATCTACATAGGCTAAGTGATTGATTTGAAGACCATTTTGTGGTATCGAGAAAGGTATAAAATTGTCATTAAGAAGCAATTCATTAAGGGACCGGGAAAGAACATCAGCAACAATGATAAATAAGGAGGATCCCCCTGTTTAAGCCCTTGTGAGGAGGTGAAGAAACCATTTCTCGAGCCATTAATATTGACTGAATACCATACCCCACAGATGAGATTGTAAATTAAATCCATCCAAGGCTCAGAGAATCCATATTTTCTTAGAATAACTGTGACAAAAGGCCAAGACATCTGATCATAAGCCTTGGCCATATCAAGTTTAATCACTATATTGTCCCCTTTGTTCGGCTAATTAATGCTATGAATTATTTTTTGGGCCAATAAAACATTCTCTGTGATAAGTCTATCTTTGACAAACCCACTTTGGCATTTAGAAATCAATTTGGGTAATAGGGGATTGAGTCTAAGAGAAATGACTTTACATAAAATCTTGTTGGTGAAGTTGGATAGACTAATTGGCCTAAATTCAGAGAAAGTAGTAGGGGCATTTACTTTGGGAATTAAGTCAAGACAAGTATGTGAGAAGAATTTGGTAAGGTTGTTACCATTTAAAAAATACAGGACATAATCCAAGATATCAGTTTTGATGATGCTCCAACATTTTTGAAAGAAGGTACCATTATATCCATCCGTACATGTTGTACACGAAGCACTAAGAGTAAAGACAACTTCTTTTACTTCTTCTTCATTGGGCAAAGTTGTCAGCATATCATTGTCTTCTTCAGAAATGCTACTAGGAATGCAATCTAAGATGGTGGGGTTAAGAATACACTTAGGAAGATTAAACATTGATTCAAAATGCTTCACTGCAGCTCTGGATATCTTATCATTCCCTTTGATCCATCTTCCTCTATCATTCTTAATTCTATTCAGCTGAACTTTTCTCCTCTTCTCTCTAAGCAAATAATGAAAGTACTTAGAGTTACTATCACCCCTTTTATACCATTTGATATGAGATTTCTGTTTAAGCATAGATTCTTGCATGCTAAACCATTTGATGTATTCTGCATGAACTTTGTTAAACTCTTCTCTAGTTTGATCTGAAGCGTTGGTTAAGTCCATAACTTCCATTTCTTGAACCTTTTCCTCCCATTTGATCACTTCATCATTAATATCTCCAACTCATTTCTGGACCAATGACTAAGTTTTGTTTTGAGATTTTTGAGCTTAGTTTGGAGCCTCCACATTGGATTAACATTAACCTGAACCTCCCAAACTTGTTTTACCACATAAAAGAAGTCATATTGATCTGTGCAGCAATTAAGAAATCTAAAGTAATTGAATGCAGGTTGATTAGTGTCCCAATATTTCATGAGGAGAGGTCTATGATTAGACCCTGTTCTGACAAGATGTCTTATGGAGCAATTCTGAAATTTTTGATTCCAACTATCATTTGTAAGAACCTTGTCCAGACTTTTCCATATTCTCTTACTAGGTCTCCTATTGTTACACCATGTAAATTTGGGACCAGAGAAATCAGTGTCAGTGACCCCACAAGTATCCATACAGTTGATAAAATCAAAACTTCTATGGATTCTGTGTGGTTTACCTCTAACTTTTTCACTGATATCTGAAATGATGTTGAAATCCCCACTGATACACCATGGAGCATTAATGTTATAGCTTAAGCATTCTAAGTTGTCCCAAAGAACCATTCTTTCTGCAGAAGTGCATTTAGCATAAATAGATGTGATAAATACCCCATTGTCGTCAATTCCATTGTCAAACTGAATAGTAACATGTTGCTCCTCACTAGCACAAATAGTGGCATTTAGGTTGCTACTCCAAAAATACCAAATTTTGCCGTTATCATTAGAGATGCAGTTATGAAAGCCCAAGAACTTCCTGTAGCCATCAAGTTTGTGCTTATTCACAAAAGGTTCAAAGACAGCAACGAATTGTACTTTGTTGATGCAAATAAGATGATATAATCTGTGGATTGCTTTTTGGATCTAACTCCCCTTATATTCCAAAAGATTGCACTAATCATTAGAACAATTGAGGGTAATTATTTTTTTGTTTCCTTTTCACAGAGTGTGTAGTTCTTGCTTTGCTCCTTTTTCCTATCTTTTTGGTTCTACTTCTTCCTCTGCCACTAGGTAAATCTTTATCAGTGTGATTTTCATCCTCTTGTATAACTTCTTTGTGTTTTTCTGATGTGACTTCAGGAGGATCCTTTGTAGGATTGTTTGGGATCTGGTTACCTTCTATGTTCTGCGCGGCATTCTCACTATTTCCCATGGAGTTGGATTATGTAACTTCTTTAGGGATATTGGTGTATGAAGCATCCCTATTAGTGATGGTGTTATCTTCTTTGTTTTCCATTCTATTGCCAATCATCTAATTATTTTCTATCGCATCCTTTATGGCATTGCTACTAGATTCCTCCTCTTCTGTGCATATATTCCTCTCATTTTCTTTATCTTGTTCAGTGCTGTCAACATTAGTAGGTGATGTGTTGTTCTTCCCTTTAAAATTATTCAAGGTGTCAGAAGTACTTTCCTTATCTAGTTGACTTTCGACGGGCTGCAAATCTTCATCAATTCTGGAATCATTGTTGTTCTGTTGGATCAATGAGTGACTTTGTTGTGTCCTTTTCTTGGTTGCTCCTTGTGATGTTACAGGTTTAAATATCACTTTGTTTTCTTTTTCGGTATCCTCTTGGTTTTGGTCTTCATATCCTTTTTCTTGTGAGTAACTGCAACAACTATTTGTCCCTCTTCTCATTGACTGTGGCTTGGTCTCCCTGTTTCTCTTCAATAACTTTTTGAGCATTCTTTTCCTTAATGCCCTGAAGAATCTTGGCAAGAGTTTGTTCCTTCTCTTCAGTCTTTTGTTGATTTTTTCCCGGATTTTTGCATGTTGTTTGTTGTGTCTCCTTTCCCCTTTCAATCTGATTAGAGTTAGTATCCTTGTCGTTCGTGATATTTTTTCCTTTGTTATTTTCATCTCCATCCTACTAGCTTTATAGCTTTCCTACATTGCAAAATTGAGTGCCCTAGCAGCTTACAATGTCGACAGTACTTGGGAACATTTTCATACTCCAGTTTTTGGGTAAAACCTTTCAGCGGATTGGTATCATATTCCAGTTTAGGTTTAGTAAGGTCAGGTAATTAAACTTCAAATCAAGGATTCATACTCAAGTCTTGGCGAAAAGCAAGAAATAAAGAATGGGATGATCTTTAGTATTCTTCATTTATTTTACACCAGTTTTTGTCAATATGAGGAAGCGGAATACTGGACCAAGATCTTACCGCTTCTTAGGTTAATGGACTCAATTCATCATGTACACTAGAGGGGGAAGTGCACAGATAGCCGCTGATTAGAGATGTCTTTATTTTTTAGCCACTGTTTTAAATGTATTTACTCTTTAGCCAGTGATTAATAAATTTTTACCCGTCGGACAAAACACCCCTGTGCTAGACATATGTGTTGTGTAAATATTAAGGACATTATGTCCTTAACTTCATGAATGTTGTATAAATATTTAGGACAAAGTGCCACGTATTTGCAACTTCTGCTGCTAAACTTTAGGACACCATGTCCTTAACTTCATATGTGCAGTGTAAATGTTAAGGACATGGTGTCCTTAACTTCATATGTGCAATGTAAATGTTAAGGACATAATATCATTAACTTGTATTTGCAACTTTTGTTGTTAAACTTTAGGACATCATGTCCTTAACTTCATGTGTGCATTGTAAATGTTAAGGACATGGTGTCCTTAACTTCATGTATGCAATGTAAATGTTAAAGACATAATGTATTTAACTTGTATTTGCACCTCCTGTTGTTAAACTTTAGGACATCATGTCCTTAACTTCATATGTGCAGTGTAAATGTTAAGGACGTGGTGTCCTTAACTTCTTGTGTTCATTGTAAATGTTAAGGACATAGTGTCCTTAACTTCATGAGTGATGTGTAAATATTAAGGACAAAGTGTCCTATATTTGCACCTTCTGCTGATAAACTTTAGGACATCACGTCCTTAACTTCATATGTGCAGTGTAAATGTTAAGGACGTGGTGTCCTTAACTTCATGTGTGTAATGTAAATGTTAAGGACAGAATATCATTAACTTGTATTTGCAACTTCTGTTGTTAAACTTTAGGACATCATGTCCTTAACTTCATATGTATACTTCATATGTGCAATGTGAATGTTAAGGACGCAGTGTCCTTAACTTCATGTGTTCATTGTAAATGTTAAGGACATAGTGTCCTTAACTTCATGAGTGATGTGTAAATATTAAGGACGTGGTGTCCTTAACTTCATGTGTGCAATGTAAATGTTAAGGACATAATATCATTAACTTGTATTTGCAACTTCTGTTGTTAAACTTTAGGACATCATGTCCTTAACTTCATATGTGCATTGTAAATGTTAAGGACATGGTGTCCTTAATATTTTACACATCAATCATGAAGTTTAAGGACATCATGTCCTTAATATTTACACATCACTCATAAAGAAAGGGTAAAAAAGATTTTTCGTATTAATTTTAATAGAGTAGTGCTATTTTTGCTCAACATTAAAAGCACTGGCTAAAATATAAATACCACTTAAAAAAGTGGCTATACCACGTCATTTCTACTACACTAGAAGATGGGCATACAGTTAACTACCCATAATAGGAGGAATAAATAACCTAAAAAAAAATAAAACAGTACTACTAGGATAAATATCCTCTATAGTGGTTAAATCGTTGAGTTATTAGCAGCTGCTATGCTATCAGGAGAAGCACATCAGCGTTACAACATAAAAGCCTAAATTCATTACACAAATTTTCCAAGAAGCTCAAGATAGTGATACCTTCCATCATATGATATTTACTCAAGATTCAATAGTGGATACAACAACTGTACAAAGACCAAAAGGTAACTTGTTTGGTTGGAAAAGGAAAAAGTTTTCTGAAAGAGAGAAATGCTTACATGTTTTTCATTGTCCATTATGTAGCTCATCAAGAAAATGGCTGGCATATAAACCTGTTACTTTTTTGGTAGACAAAAGAATAGTTTAGCGACCAAAAACCATTTCAGTGCTCCTCATTCTACCAGTGCCTAAAAGTGAGAATCTATCATGGAACACATTAATGCGTCCAAAAGCATAAGTTCTGGGAGGGCACTCGAGAGCTGCTTCAAGGATCCGATGATGTACGCCATGGGAGTCAACCGAATGTCCACCTTTATGGTCATGTCCAGCAAGACAGACCTTCACACAATTGTAGCCATGTATCACAGCCATCACTTCATCATAATTCCACAATAATGCTGCAAAAGATGATGCTGCAGGATCTAAAGGCAGATGGCAACACACTATTACATTTTGATTCAAATTTGTTGCTTCCTCAAGGACATTATCTAGCCATTTCAACTGTTCTTTCCCAACACCTCCGTTGAACATGAGAAACCTCCTCTCACATCCCACTAGTCCATCCGGATTGTTTTTGTCTGAATTCGGGTTTTTTTCCTGAAGAATTTTAAGGGCCTCCAATGTATTTGGGTGATCCTTTGCCCAACCAATGCCACTAATATCGTAACCATCAAGGATAACAAATCTGTATTCTGGAATTGGAGAAAATTCAAAATAGGCATGATAATCAGGGCTAGGAACTCTCAGTAAAGGAAGCAACTTCTCCCGAGGGAGATTGTAAAGGCAGTGATTTCCAATCAAGTGATAAACAGGGCCATTGAACTTATCAAATTCGTTAACCATCTTCTTTACAGTGATCATTGACTGCTCCTTGGGACAAAAACCATCAACTATGTCTCCACAATTAATCACAAATTTAGGCTTTTCTTGATTCCATTCCTCAACTGCCTTCTGTAAGACGCAAACACTGTGCCGGTAATACCTAGGGACACCAAGGAATGAGCGGCCATCAGGTATATCAGCATACTGGACATCTGATATGACCCCAAATGAGAGAAGTGGTTGCTTCTCCTCTGAACACACAAGACCATTTGCCGATCCCATTGCCTACCACCCTATTAATTAGTAAGGATCAATTGACCATTAAGTAATAAGCTGAAAGTAAAGTAACACACTCTCGAAGAACAGCACGAGAGATACGGTTTGATAAATGCCAAACAATAGGGAACTTATGTAATTAGTGCAATACAAATAGTTCTCTACTTAAGGACAAATGTAATTGAGAAAGCAAAAGGCAACTAACAAACATATAAAATAACATAATGATAAATTCGGGAGAGAGATCCAAACAACTTATTTGACTAAGTAGCAATGTTCATGATCCAAAGACATTACATACAGAAAGAAGGAATCAATCACTGTTACTCTTTTGAGATCAGTAAAAAAAATCCAATTCTGCAGGGCTTTGCAGAAATCTTATTCTAAATGTCAGGCAGTGCCATAACCATTTCACCTTCAGTTTGGTCCACATGATGAACTCCCTCCACTGGTAGATAGTTCTTCCAATCTTTACCTATCTTTACTAGTTCAGCCGCTCTATTAGAAGCCAAAGCGGTCATTCAAAACTTAACTTTGTCGTTATAAAGAAAACTGGAGATGGATTGTGGAGTTTGTTTCTATGCTTGTGTGAGTGTGTGTTCCTACAACGCAATTGCTTCATGCAACAAAATAAGGTTTGCCGATGTAGACTCCGTGAATTCATAATGGTCTTCAAAATCCCACCTCCCTCCGATGAGAAAGAAGATAAAGACTCCTTGATTTCTTTCTCAATATCTTAATTCCATGAAAACCATACTTAATTCCGCTCAGCTATGGATACCCATCTTTCAATGCAATTCCAAATGGCAGGCAGGAAGAATTTAAGGGGAAAAAACAAAAATATACCATTCATATGGTTTCTTTATAGGCAATTTAGAAGTTTGGTTGACCTAAATTAACAGTGAGAAGCAGTCAAGTCAACAGCTACGGCACCAGGATGGGTAACAACAACAACCCAGTAAAATCCCACAGTCAAGTCAACAGCTACGGCACCAGGATGGGTAACAACAACCCAGTAAAAACCCACATGTGGGGTCTGGGGAAGGTAATTTACACCTACCCGATGGGACAGAGAAACTGTTTCCGATGGACCCTCGGTTCAAGAAGACGGTGCACCAGGATGGGTGATTTGTTAAATTGATTATGGAGCATTCTTATTAGAATCTTTAGCCAAGCTTTAACAAGTATTCCTTATCTGAATTATAAGGAATCAAGATGACATTTATAGAAGCGAACTTGAGGGTGCTTTCTTCAATTTGTTTCCTTTACTCTGTCCTATTTTTTTTTGGTTCAATCAACTATGCTTTAATTCAAAATTCAAAATTTAGTGTTAAGAGGATTCATCATTAGACTATTGTACATTGGAATTTTCCTCCTTTATTTGAACTTGAGACTGGCTATACATTGTGAAACTTACTTTGGCAGAGTAACTAGTTCCCCTTTAAGATTTAGGTCTATTTTTGTTATATCAATATATCTCATCTAAAACCAATTTTCGAAAGTTTCCACAAACTGTTACTATAGTTTCTAATGGGAAGGGAAAGATAACAAGATACGCAAACTTTGGCAGCAACAATATCAAAAGGCATACATATTGTACATCTGATGAGCATGCATATAAAGATATATAAGTTTTTTTTCTTTACCAATCAACAATGTTCAGCAGCAAAAGTTGATCTTTATCCAAGACATTACATGGGTTTAATCAAAGTCAGAATCTTTATAAATAATTTGGCCGTTTGCAATGAAATCAAACGAGGTCATGGAATCGAGATGATGAATAATTGTAAGATGAGGGCAGAAAGAGGAATTTACGTACCCGAATTGCCTGTTTCGATCAAAATGTGTACAAGGAAACCTTAACTACCGCAACAACGTAGGCCTTATGGACAAAAAGGTGGTCGCTATAACTTAATTGTTCCGAAAGTATAAATAATTAGGACCTAAGGTTAGAACAAGAAGAACAATTTTTAGAAAAACTTGGATTCTAGTAATTTCTAAAGGACGACCTTCCTTCTTGTTTTCAGTTTCTTTTTTAATTTAACTTCTAGTCACTAATAATGTAAAAAAAATTATTTATGTGATTAGATTACCTAAAAAAACTAATTAGGCAATTGTTAATATGAAATAGGAATTGGTAACTAGAAAGGTACGATACCCTATTTATTATTTATATTGTACCGAGTATAAATGACCGCTAACTAGCGTGATTTTTTTTAATGTATTTAACAAAAAAGCAAGAAAAATTTACTGAAAAAAGTCCTATGAAACACAAACTCATGATTGTGCAATTCAATTTGTGATAGCACAATTAACCATTAGGGATAACATAAACAGAAGTCTTTTTTTCCTTAAGTATATATGTGGCACTCAAATTTAAATTATGATATATAGTCATTGGGTTTTAAAGACTAAAAGCATATTCTATATATATGCTTTGATACTATAATTTGTGTTATAATCTTTTTACCAATGAACTATCTTCCTCAAGACAAGGGCGTCTTGCGCATATTAAACTTTATAAGGTTAGTTNATATATATAAGAGAAAGTAAACATTGGGGGTAGAAATAAAATATTGTAAAACTAACCATTTTGATTGGTACCTTTGTCTTCTATTTACCCCAAGAAGAAGAAATAAAATTTGTTATTGTGTAGTTCTCTTATTTCACCTTTAATTTCCGTTATTTATAACACGTACGTTATTAGCACGGTTGTCTACATTTATTTTAATTTGTCACCTCTCATTTTCTTAAGGTATGTGCAATATGATGTTAAAGTTCAATTTGCTACTTTAAATATTGTCCCTTCTATTCTTTTGTTGTGTCATGTTATCTGACTAGATGAAAGTGATAATGTAAGTTTTACCTCTGCGGCCCCTATATGCTTAATTAAACAAATGAAATTTATAATTACGGTTACTATCTCTAAGTGAATAACAAATCTAATACCGGTGGGACTAGTTTCTTGAGTCACTAGTAATATATATAAAATTATGTTTGAATATTTTTGTAACAAATTGAGCATGATTAACATTTATATTTTAACTTGAAAGAGAGTGTTACAGTCTTACAGAATGTATATAGACACCTAATTCATAGAGACACTTTCGCATGTAATATAATGACATTTACATGTATATACACATCTATTTCATACCATCCACACTCACGGAAAGTCCACATCATGATATGGCATTGCTTAAGTGCAAGATTCTTCTATATGTCCTTTTTTTTCTTTTTTAAATTGAGTTTGCAGTATAATGATTCTGTTAAACTTTATAGTTGGAATTAAAACAAAAAAATTGTAAGCAAAACTTTAGGTGAGAGGTGAAAAACAGACGTGGTGGCACGCGTACATGACTGGAATTGATTGATATTAGTTCCATATTTGTCCATTGATGTAACAAGGTCTTGTCATGTTATAGCCACCTTCTAGTGTTAAGTTGTTCAATTGAAATTAACACTTTAATTTTTCAAAATAGACAGAAAGAGCACGTATTCGACAAATAGAAGTAATGTGGTCTGGGGAGCGTGTGGCCGTGAAAAAGAAAATAAAGAAAAGACAATAGGACAGAAACTGAGATTTTTAATCACCAACACTAGAAGAATTTCATTGGCTGGGTGGAACTAATTGGAACTTCGACGTCAGAAAAACCATTGGTGTAGCCACCCTATGCCAAGGATGATTATACTGCGTATATAATTAAGTTAATTAAATGCTATTTTATATTTTTATATATTATATTTTAAACACTCTTAAAAAAATTGAGTGAGGTAATCCAGTGGTTCAGGATGCTCAAAGTAATATGTTATTCATGGGTTCGAAATTCTACCAAACTAAAAAGAGTCCACCATATGCGGTCTATTTGATTCTTTTTCAATCTAAAAATTTTCTAATAAAATAACTCTTAAAACTTAAATTTTGCTTAGAAATAAACAACTAATCTTAAAATTAAATTTTTTAACTAAAATTTATTTATTAAATAAATTTGATAATTTAAAAGTCAAACTCCGTAAAAAAAATCAACAAAAGCTCTCTACAAACTACAAATCCTCTCGACTCTCTTTTTCCTTTGGTTTTATGCTTACTTTTATTAGTAAAATTTCTAATGTTGTCTTTTTGTTATTTTTATTTTTATTTATAAAAATATAGTTCTATTAATTTATTTATTTTTATGGTTTAGCTAAATATTGCGTAATTTGATCTAAAAATTTTGGTACACCATTCATCGACCAAAAAAAAATTATTGACTTGTTTAAAGTTTGAACATCCTTAACGAAATTTCTGGCTACGCCACAGAAAAACCTCTCTCTTTCTTTATTTCCCCTCCCTTCAACACAGTGTTGAAATTATCTCTGCGACAATTTTATGTGTACCAGGGGACGACATAATCGTCATTAACATGTCAAAATTTGAAATATAGTTCTGGTACTAGTCGAAACATTGACCAAAAATATTTAGTTCGACATTCTTTACACCTCGGTTAATTATGTGAATTTTTATTTTTACTTGCACGTGAAAATTATCGCATCCTTTTAAAAGTAGTTACTAGTCATGATCTTTTTATGGTCTTTTTGCATGAGTTCTTTATTCACTTGTGAAATGCTTAAAAGAACAGTTACCACTCCAATCCTCTGTTGCTCTTTTTGCACGCACTCGTGAATAAAATGCCTCTATAGTTAATTAGTAAAAAAACGAAGATAACTTTAACGATGAAAATGAATTTGTGAGAAAAGAAAAACATGACAGGAAAATATTAAGAGGTGCCCTTGGAGAAAAGTTTTAGGTCGTGTAGGACCTTGCAAGGAAAAAAATTCTAAACTTCACATCTAAAATTTCCGTCACTGCTATTATTTTCCTGTTCAGAAAATTATACAATCGTGACAGAAAAAGAGTCGATTCTAAGTAAAAGTAAAATGCTCAGTGAGATACTTGAATTGCAATCTAGTTTTTTCAATTCCACCTGCTACTCATGTACAAAATTAAAATCTCGCTTGAGATCTTTCCTTTACTTCTTGTTTTCTCCTTACTCATCCCCTCATTCTAGGGGTGTTTAATGTGCGGGTTGAACGAGTCAAAATGGGTTAAGTCAATAAATTAAATTGACAGGAGCTAAATTTTATGTCATAGCTAAACCCCCAACTCTTATCAAGTTTTAATTAATAACTATTTTCTTATGAATTGTATAATTACCAAATAAATTTTTCTTTTCTTTTTTTATGATCACATATAACATATCAAACTATTTCTAAGATATTTGGGCAAACATACTCATGGATCAATTTGAACTAAAAATCAATCCAACTTTAAATGGGTTGAGACACATTAGGTCAAGATAGAGTGAGTTCAATAAATGGAGGGTCAATAACTAGCCCAACCTTGGACGGGTCATTTGGGCTTGGGCCAAATTTGACAACCAGGCCGCATTCCTTAAATTTTTTTGAAACATATGTAACGGAAAAGGAAAATGTTCAAGAAAGATAAAGAGAGTTTGTGGGCGATCTTCCTTCTATCTTACCAATGAATAAGTTTGAATGAAAAGCCTACCCATTGTTAGTGTCCTAGAGCTGCCAACATCTTTTCCAAAGCATCATTCCCTTTCCCGTGCCATCTGTTTTTCCGGATAAAAACGTGAAACACGACGACACATTTCACCTTTGACTGTTGTCTTCAGTTATCATCTAGCAAAAGATATAAAGAATTTAACTCTCCAAAACATTGCTTGCAACTTCCATTCTCGTCACATCTCCCAGTGCCAAGAAGGTTAATTCAAATTAACTCCATCAGAATACATGATGCTTTGACTACAATTCATCACCGGAATGCACGATGCTCAACTACACATTTCATTATGGAGACAGGTAAATACATACTCAGTTAAGTTTCCAATCTTTTCTACCGCGCCAACTTCCTATCTAAGTTACAAAGTATATTACTTCTGAGAGCTCAATTTTAATATACATTTGGGCACAAAATCGGCCAAACTTGCATCACCAGACTCGGTCAACAGCAAGAAACATTTAAATGAATAGTATTTACATGGGACCTCGTCAACTCGTTAAGACTGCCAATAAGAAACTGGCACGAATCCCTCCACCACATCAGATAGTTCAAAAGCAAATTACCAGGCATCGTTCAGGATAAAGTGCAATCCAATTTACCTACTCAGATGACCCCGTGTGTAAGGAAAGGATGTCTCAGGGCTTCACGAGCAGTTAACCTTTCAGATGGATCATAACGAAGGAGTCCTTGCAAGAGATTAATAAGATCTCCAGCAGAATGATCCACATGCTGCATAATTATATTCTGCAGTAGATGACACATCAACTGTTAGTTAACAAATTAGTCCACCTACCAACCCGTTAGAAGATTAGAGCCTACAGCCTACAAATTATCATTCATTGTTACCTGAAGGCGAGCAAGCTTTAACACAGCTTTGATACTGTCACGGGATGATGCTCCTTCGGGCCAGTCCAAACGTCCCCTTCTCACATACTTGTCTGCTTGCTGGCTGATTATAACAAGGAAACAATTAACAACTTCCGCAAAGCTGAGGTTAAATCTTTCATAAGAAACCAAACTGAGGGCTTACTCTACTCGTTTTAGCATGTGCTGAGGAAGGGGGCCAAGTACCCTCTCCATCATAGCAAGGTGCTCTAAATTTTCATGTGTTTGAAACAATGCTTCTCCCTGAACCAAGTACACAAGCTTATTACTTACTACACCTACATAATACACAAACCATAGTTTATCCATGAGAAAGGAAAAGAACATACCGAACATAACTCCACGAGGATACAGCCAACACTCCATATATCACATGCGTACCTCCATCCCAGACCTTGAAAGCAAATTAAAATACTGGCAATCACCACACTACCATCTGTGCAAACGACAACAGAAAGACACAAAAAACTATGTATCTTCAAGATGCTAAAATATTCTTACCTAGAATAACTTCTGGTGCACGGTAATGACGAGTTGATACAATATACTTCTGATCC